TGTGTCCAACAGTGTGGGTGAGAGAGGGCACTGCTGCCACCCCTGCCCTCCCCACTGACCGCCCAGCCGGGCCCTTGGCTTGCAGATTCCTGCTGCCTTCTCCAAACTACTACGGCACTTCGTTAACAGAAAACCGTTTCCAGAGAGGGGACCACTGCGCCTCCGTGGAACCCCAAGCTGGAGGCCTGTACTGATTAAAGACGGACTGACTGACATGATTAGCAACAGGATGTAACGGGAATGTCCATGGCCTTGGAGTTAAAAGAGATAACTTCCATCTTGGCTCACCATGCCGAGCATGAGCCTTCCCGCCCTGGAGTGCTGGGGAAGTAATTTACCTCTCAGCGCTGGTTTCCTCACTCAGACGAGGGGATTCTGTTGTCTAATTAGAATACGGAGACAGTGTAGCAAACACTGGGCATGGGAGCAGCTTCAAGGAGGCAGAGGTTGGTTTCCCCTCTGCCCAGTCACAGGGGCACAAGGAGCCGAGCCTGGAGTGGTCGCTCCAGGGCCCTGGGAACTCAGGCTCCTCCTTTCTGGGCGATGCAGTGAGAGGGGGCCCATAATCAGGCCCGCTGGGTTCGCCATCCCGCTGACCTGACGGAGGGAGACCCCCCCCACCCCACCCCACCCCACCCCCGGCGAGGAACGCACACCTCGCTCTCTTTTAAGGGCACAAGGGCACTGTGGTGGTGGAGGTGGCCAGGACCTGCTGGTGAGAGCCATTTGTTAACTTCTGGGGAGTTAAGTGAGTTGGTCCTTAAACACAACCTTCAGTAAAAAATGAAACTACAGGAACTCCAGTTAAACAAATTAAGTTAAAAACAAGGGCAGCAGACACGCCAACTCAGCCCTCCTTAATCACACCTGACAGTTGCTGTGCGCTGTGCTCTCGCCTTGCACACTCCCTCGTGTGAGCACGGAAACCCGGAGTCACGTGCGCGGCTGCCGACTTTTCCTGCAGGTGCAGACACTTCCGTCGGCGCCTGACATCAATCACGACCTGGTTACACTGCAGAGATGGACACGCACCACGATCCGGGCCGGACTTTATTTTGTTCAATTGACGGTTTACACCAGGGCCTGGCAAACCAGCCCACCACCTGCTTTGCTTCAGTCCTTAAACTAAGTTTATTTATTTGTTTGTTTTGTTAACATTTTATATACAGAAGGACTGGAGTGGGAGGGACAGAGGAAATATGTGACAGAGAGAGGCTTTGGTGGCTGCAAAGCCTGAAAATATTTACTGGAAGGGCCGTTACGATACATGTTTCACAACCCTGATGGAGAAACTTTTAATAATTCAGTGAAACGGTAAAGTTTCCTCGCTGTCAGCTGGATGCCGCCCTCAGCTTAGAGAAGCTGCTCTCGCCTCCTCACGTGGCCCCCTCGAGCCTCGAAGCCAAGAAGGGAGAAGACCAGCATCTGTGCTGAGTCCTGCTCAGACCTTCAGTCTCTTCAGTCCCGGGTCCCTGTCTCAGGCCCACTGACGTCATCGCCCTTGTTGAAGTCAGCTGTGCCCTGGAACGTTGGTCTAATCACCCAGCGATGGATGTCCAGTCCCAGTGAAAGGTCCTGCCCCCAGTCAAGAGGGTGGGTCACCTACACATGGCTTTGGGTCACCGGGGTCATTCTAGACTTCCTGCTGCACGGGGACCTCAGAGTTTCTGTCACATCCACCCCTTCCATTTATTATTGTAAGAGCTTAATGGGATCATGGATATGTACATATATATGTGTATATATATATCAGCGTTGCTTATGCTTTCAGCAGAAAGAATCATGGCATCTGATTTGAGCTTCTTTTTAAGTGAAAGCAGTATTTTAAGATTGATAGTTAACAAGAACTTGCTTCAGGTGCAGAAATAACACAGTAACCAAAAAGCTGCATTTCACGCAGCGTCTGCAGAAACACTTGGAACCCACATGCATATAGATGACATACGAAGAAGACTGGGCACCTGCCATTTCAAAATGCCACCTCCAGCCCATCTTCTTAACAAGGACAGAACCCCAGCCTTTGTTACAAACACGACCACGGGCCTCAAACGGGGCTTGTGCTCGGCCCCCGTCACCACACCAAGACACAACCGAATCACACTTTCAGGTCTCCCAGAAGTGAGACCTTGAGCCAGTCCACCAGGAATCCCCGAGCAGCACGAGGGAGGTGATCCGCCCGACAGGCCAGCGCCATCCCCTCGGAAAGGAACTTGGCCAGAACCAGCTTGCTTTTCCGCCCAGAAAAACTTCCCTGCTCCCATGTCCTTCTGCCCAGGAGAGTCTCTCACCTTCCACGACTCCTTGGAGTGACTTTCTAGCTGCAAGATGGAGTGCTGCCCATTATAATCATTTTTTGCTCAGATAAACTCGAAACTTTTAACCTGCCCTAGTTTATCTTGAACAGTTGTGGCCTCACAATAGGGACCCATAGGCGACCCCCACGGCCCCCCGGGAGCAGCAAGCTGCCAAAAGGTACCTGCTGGGCCCGTGAGCGCGCTGCGTTCTCGCTGCCTCGGGAGGTGCTGGGTGAGGCCCATGGGCTACTGAGTCCTGGCTCTGCAGCTTGGCATGGGGAGCTTTCAGCCTGTCCGAACACTTCTTTCCCTGGACTGCATCTGGGAACCGGCAGGAGTTGAACTGGGTCTGACTTAGAAACCAAGGGTGGTCAGGGCGGAGCTGGGTGTGAGGAAGGCTGGAGGGCAGCGCCTGAGGCCTCAGGTGAGCAGCATTTTGGTTTAGGGCTGAACAAGCAGGTTTAACTTATCAAAGGTAATCAAATTAGAGTGGCCACAGTGGAGCACTCTCAAGCTAGATAAGCCTATCCATATCTGAAGTCGCCACAGAGCAGTAGGTCTCAGCCAGGCACTCACCATAAAGGGTGGAGGGAAAACTGTGTTCCCTCCTCTACAGCTTCCGGCAACTGGAACAAGAGCAGCTGGGCAACCCCCTTCCTCTGACCCTGCAGAAGGGACCCTGGGGGAACTGGCAGAGCCGGCTGGGGGGGGGCGCTCCTGCTCAGGGCAGCTTTCCCACATCTCTGTGTGTGGCGCGTGGCCAGGAGAGAGAAGTCAGATTTCCTGTTGTCCTTTGTAAATTCAGACTCTCGTGAATTTGACTTGGGGGCACCATTCATTGCCGAATCTTTCTCTCCCAGGGCAGCTCTTGCCTCGTTTTGTATCTGTTTGTATTTAAAGAGTAAGGCCTGTGTGACCCTGGGGACGAATGTGCCCGTGTCCATGTCCGCACACTGGCGTGTGTGCACACACAGCACACATTTCCTCTGCCGTCTCCAAGTGTGTCTTCTCACCAGAGATTTTTAAACCTAAATACTGTACCAATGTTAATTTTATTATCTCAATGGCATCTGTTTTCCCCATAATTGCTCTGCAAAGCATACTTACTAAATCAGTAAACTTCTACAGTGTTCAGTCAACCTGCTATTATGTAAGATTATGCCATTTCCGTTAAATGGTTCCCAAAGGTTTACAAAATGGGGTAACTTTGTCCTAGATGTCAATTAATGTTTTTATGGTTTTATTTACATATATTGTGAAATGATCACCAAAGTAGGCTCAGCTAACATCTATCTTTTCATATAGATACAATAAAAAGAAAAAAGGGAAAATTATTCTGTGATGAGAATTCTAAGGATTACTCTCTAACTTCCCTACATCACACAGCAGCATTAATTAGAGTGGCCATGCTGTACATCACATCCCCAGTATCACTTATCTTAGAACTGGAAGCTTGTATCTTGTGACTCTCCCTGCCCCCTGACTCTGGTAACCAAAAGTCTGACCTCTTTTCTATGAGTTCTTTGGGGGTATTTTGGTGGTTTTGTTTTAGAATACACATATAAGCAAAATCATGCAATATTTGTTGAACTTAGTTAGTATAATGCCTTCAAGTTTCACTTACATTGTCCCCCAAATAGGATTCTCATTTTTTTTATGGATGGCTGAATTAAATTTCATTGCAGTTGTTCATTGCACACACCCACACACACACATCGCAAACATATATCCCATATATATTTATGTATATAGACCACAACTTCTTCACCCACCCCTCTGCTGATAAACACAAAGGGGGTCTCCCTGTCCTGGCTACTGTAAATAATGCACTGGGGCGAGGGTATCTTTCGGGTAATGTTTCTGCTCCCTTTGGATGCAGTCCCAGACCTGGGACCACGCGGTAGCCCCATCTCTGATTTTCCGAGGAGCCCCCACACTATTTTCCTCAGGCCTGTACCAGCTGACGACCCCACCGGCACTGCACAAGGGATCCCTTTTCTCTGCACCCACGTGGCGTTTGTTCTTCCTTGTGTTTTGACAATGGCCATTCTAAGGAGCATTAGGTGAGGTGTCATTATTTCTAATTTGCATTTCCCTAATAACTAATGACATGGAGCATCTTTTCATGCACCTTTTGGCCTTTGGTATCTTTTTATCAGAAATGTCTATTTGGGTTCTTTGCCCGTTTCTAAACTGGGTTCCCTCTTGCTCTTGTTGGCTAAACAGACGGTTCAGGAATCCGAGAGACCGCAGTGGAGATGGGGTGGACGTGACACTCACTTAACTCACTCAGCCGCCCAGGAACACCGACAGCATCCATCCCGCAAGAGAGCCAGCCAGGGCCTGGTGGGTGGGGTCCATCGGAGGCCCCACCCAGAGTGCCTGGAGCCACGCCCCCGCACTGGCCCCACCCCTCCCCACACGCCCAGGGACTCCCGCAGCACAGACTCAGCGGAGCAGGTGGAGGACCGTCCGAAATCACTGCCTTTATTTCTTGGCCGGCCTTGAAGTTAACTGGGACCAGGTGGGTCCTGCTGGCCTAGTGGGGCATCAGGTCCAGCTCCACTGGCGGCTCCAGGTGCTTCCTCCTCCTGGCGGGCAGGCGCAGAGAGTCAAGCTGCCGGCCCTCAGCTACTTTTGCCCTGTCACCGTCACCACCCGCGTGGGGGGGGGGGGCTGCTCCCCACAGATCCTCTCTCCGAGCGGCTCTGCGGACATCCTCACCCCCTCTGTCTCCCTCCCTGCCCGCTTCGCCTCCATCCCTGGCTCCCGACCTCTCCTTCGTCGGCCCCGTCCTCTGAGCTGCTCTGGGTACGAGTGGGAACTTGCCCCCCGAATTCCTCCAGCTCCCCCTTCAGCCTGCAGAGAAGGGGCAGGAGAGAGACGAGGAGGAAAAAGTGACCAAGAGTCGAGGGATCCAGGAGGAAGCCACCGAGACCCAGCGACCCCACACGCTGTGGCCCCGCCTACCAGCCCCAGAGCCGGCCCTTCTGGGAGGGGTGGTGCCGCCGGGAACGAAGGCCCTTTCCCTTCCTCCGCGCCCCTTCTCCCTCGCCAAAGCCTCCGCTCCGGTCTCACCCTTCTTTCACTGCCAGGGCACCCTCGACCTCTGGCAGCGAGCGCAGCCTTTGTTCCACCAGCTCCAGCTTGGCTCGCAGGGAGTGCTCTGCGGGGGTTGTTGGGGTTGGGGGGAGTCACGGGGGAGACCTGGAGCTCCCGAGAGCAGACCCTGCTCCCTTGCCCCCCCACCCCAAGCTGGAGTCCCACCTTCCGTGAGCAGCTGCTCCTTGCTGCTCTGCAGGGCACAGATCTCCCAGGCCAGTCGCTGCTCCAGCATCTGTAAGGAGAGAGGAGGCCTGGAAATCCATCTGTTCTGCATTCCCGGCCCCCTCCTCCTTCCCGCCTCTCAGAAAGTCCTTAATTGAATTAAGTCATTCATTCACTCCATTATATCTATTAACTCAATGTACAGTTTCTGTTGTGACTAATTGCTGGTGGGGACACATTTCTTTGCAATCGCTCCCCATGTGCTCATCTGCCTCTCAAATTTCATGTCTTGCCTCTCTCCTCATCCTCCCTGCCCACCCTCTAGTTTGCTCTTCCTCGAAATCTCCAGGCATGGCTCAGCCTCAGGGCCTTTGCGCTGGCCTTTCCTTCTGCCATGAACATTTGCACCCAGATACCTGCATGGCTTCCTTCCTTCCTTCCTTCCTTCCTTCCTTCCTTCCTTCCTTCCTTCCTTCCTGTCTGCATTCAGATGTCATTTGCTGAGGCCTTCCACAAATGCCATTACATGGTCTTATTTCTTATTTAGAGTCTGGGTATGCTTCCCGCTGCTCCCAGCCATCCTGGGACAGGCAAACACTTGGCCCCTAGGGCTCCCCACTGTCTCCTCGAGCCTGCGATACTGCAAAATGCATCCAGGGACATTAATTGAAGGATTGACCTGACCACAGCTTTCTCAGGGTTCCCATTTGCCACTGTAAGGTAACATACTCTAGGTGAGCAGGAGGAAAGCAGGATCAGCAGTAGTTCCTGCACCAGTCCGGGCAACCACATGACAGTGACAGGTGGTGAGAGGTGGCCGATTTAAGGTAAAAGCTGAAGGACAGGGTGGGTGGACAAAAAGAATGATGGATTCAAGGACTACTTCAGGAAGTTGGGCCTGAGCAGGAGGTGGGCCTGATCAGCCAGCAGAGACACTGCAACCAGGTGAGGAGGGCCTTTGGTCGGAGGCAATGACGATGGCTCACCTGGAATTCCCAGAGGCCCTTGTGCTGGCCCATCAAATCCTCCAGCTGCTCTTCCACATGCAACCTAGGGGCCAACACCCAGGAATGAACAGCTGCTGGGACCAACACACAGCCCGGTCCAGTCGGGGGTTCCTCGTGCACAGGCCTTTGGATTTCTGCCTACGGCTCCCTCTGCGGGGACCCCCTTTCTGGGCTTTCTCCTCTAGGCATTGGTTCCAGTAGCTCCTCTTCCAACAAACTCTCCCTGATGTAAGCTCCACTCCCACTCCCCACCCAGCGCCACACCAGGGCCTAGACCTGGAGTAGCCCAGTGGCTACCCCAGCTTCCTCTGTTTACAACTCTCTTCGATCTGAGAGTCACAGATGGAAGTTTTGTCCATGAATTCCTACAACATGTGCTTCCAGGGAAGAGAAAGACAATCTCCATTATATTCTCATAATGACCCCCCCCCACTCCCTCCAGCAGGAGTAGAAGCCCTGGGGGGTGGGGGTGGGGGTCTGCTCAGAACCTTCATCATTCTCCTTTCTCCTATTAATTGAATGTGAAACTTTATGGGCCTCTGCCAAGACCATCACCCTGTCCAGCAAACCAAGAAGTTAGGCCTGAGCAGTAGGTGAACCTGAGCAGTGAGCAGACATTTGAAGCCATAGAGGAGTGGCTTTGGTTGGAACGAACCTGTATAAGGGGAGAGTTCAGTTTCATAGACTCTAAAGTCCTGGCTTAAAGCCTGGATCTGCTATTCTACTGTGATTATGGACAAGTTACTTAACCTCTCTGGGTCTCAGTTTACTCATATGTAAAATGGTGGTAATGATGGGAGGATGACATCACCCCTTAACACACTTAATTGTCATTGTGAGCGTTACGTTTGCAAACAAACATAAACCATTCATCAGACTGTGTGTGTGCTGTGGTTATGCATATAAATACTCTAACCATCACCAGGTTTTCCTGCACAATTACAATCACAGTGAACCAAGCTGTGATACCTCTGGTCACAAAAGGTTCAAATGATGGCGAGGTGGGTGGGTGGGTGGTTGGATGGACAGGTAATTGGACCAGTGAATGGCTGGCTGAAGAGATAATGGCTGGTGAGAGCAATGATGAGCGGTGGGAGATGGCTGGGTGGAGAAATAAAAGGACCAATGGAAGGACGGATAGGTGTTTGGTTGGATGGTTGGGTGAAGAAATGAATTACTAGATGAACGATGATTGGAAAGATGGAGAAAAGACAAATGAACAATTAAACTGATAGATGAGTACAGGGAGGGCTGGAGAGACGTCTGGCAGGCTGACTAGATAAAGGGCTGGAGAGTAGGAGAGGTGTACTGATGGGTTGATGGATAAATGGATGGATTGGCGAGTGAGTGGGTAGATGGATGGGTCAGTAAATGGGTGATTGGGAAGCCTGAGTGAGCAGACAGATAAATGAATCAATGGCCAAAGACCTGAATAACCAATAGGGGAAGACTTAGAATAACACCAGTGGATGAAATTTATAAAGAAGCTAGGAAGGAACGGTTAAATGAATCTTAACACCACTACCTAATATCAAAGATGAGCATAGAAGTCTTTTGTCTAGCTGATCTGCATTATTAAAAGGGGAAATGAGGAGAGGGTGTCCAAGATTTATTTCCCTAGCTCTCACTTGCCCTCCTTCAAGCTGGGGACTGAGGTTGGGAAGAGCTGGGCAGGACCTCTTACCTCTGGGCCTCACTTGACTTCATCTGGCCATGCAGCTGGAGGGTCCTCAGTGCTTCTGTGGAGAGGAACCAAGGCCACGTGAGAGCTCTTGGGGAGTCAGGCTTGGGTGGAGGTGATGGGTATTGAAGGCACTAAGGGGACGTTAGCTTTTACTTCGAGTCAGGTGGCAGCCAAGGAAGAAATCTGAGCAGAAAGGGAGGCACTCTGGCTTGGGTTTCAGTGGGGTTCTTCTGGCTGCTCTGAGGACTGTGGGCTTTTGCGGGGTAATGGGGTATAATGAAGACAACAGAGAGAAAGTACCTTGCTTTTTTCTCAAGACCTCCTCTAGATGCACTTTCTCTCCATTCACTGGAAACACAGTGACACTTTGAGCCTCCAAGAAAGGAGCTATGTCCCCTGCCCCCACTGCCACTTCATGCAAAGGGCATGCCCATGGCCACACAGGAGGTCTGGAACAGCCCCAGGAGAGCAGAGGTATGTTCTTGCCACCCCGCACCCATCTCCTACTGGGGACCAACCTGACCCAGCTCCTCCCCCTCGGTGCCCACATTCCCTGTAATTGCCAAAGGAGAAAAAGACTCTGCAAAATGTACAAGGTTCATACCGAGGAAAGAGATGACTAGAAATATACAAATGCACCGAGTCAGATGAAAACAAGGTATGAAGAAACAAGTGGAGCAGGAGAGTGAGAGTGACAGAGAGGTGACATTCTATTTTCACATGGGACCACCAAGGTAGACGTGTTGGATAAAGCTTGAGCTAAGAGCTGAAAGATGACTTGAGATGGCAAGAGGCAACCTGGACTGCAGAGAATAAGAGCATTGCAGGTGGAGGGAGCAGCCCATGCAAAGCCTCTGAGCCGTGGGCAGGACACCAGCAGTGGCCATGGGATCTCTGGGCCCCTCTTTTGGTGTCACTTACAAGAGTCCAATTCCCTGTGCAGGGTCTCCCAGAGAGCTTGGGCTTCTCCCAATTCCTCGCTGGCCTTCTTCTTTGCTGACAAAAGAAGACACCATATGAATGCAGCCTCTAGCCATGCTGTTCTCTCTCTGACTGTGACACTGCACACTCATCTTCCAACAACCTGGAGGGGGCCTGGATTTTACAGGTGAGGAAGTGAAGGCATTCCGAGTCAGGGCCTTCATGGCCAGCTGGCCAGCCTAGGTCCCAGTTTACCTTGCTGAAACTCATTAATTCGATTAATCAGGTCTTCTATCTGGGGCTCCAGGCTTCCCTCTGCAGAAGGAAAGATTGAACCAGAGAGGACAGATGCCCCTTGTCCAGTTCAGACAGAGCGGTAGGTGTTGGCACTGTGTCTCGGCTGCTATCCATCGACACGTTTGCCGAATGTGTGTTGTCTGCTGGGCTCCGAAGAGGCCCTTGCAGGGGTGGCACGCGGGGTGGGAGAGATGGGCGCTGCACAAAGATGTGGGATCCCAGCACAGGTGGGCAGTAACTGCTGTGAAGGGACTGAAGGTGAAAGGGTAGAAGGTGCCACTCGAAATATGGAAGCGCCCCAGATGAAGAAAGGGAAGGGGGTCCTGCAGTTTTATAGGGGTGGGGTGCAGAGGGAGGAACCATGTCAGGCAGAGGGACGAGGACACAGTCCCTGCAGCGAGAGTGAGTGAGACAAACGCCCAAAGCAATGGCTAAGGGGCAGGTGTGGCAGGTGTGAGTCTAGTACGCAAGTGGAGAGTAGCCCGAGACAAGGGGGGCGGGGAGTGGGGGTGCGACCACTCAGGGCCTGCTGGGACATGGTGGAGGCTTCCCGGTGTCAGTCTGAGTGTGGTGGGAGCCGGCGAAGACCACCTGCGTGCCCACCCTGTTAAAAGCTTGGCAGGGCAGTTGTCACTCTGTCCATCTGGACTCTGGTATTGTCTCATTTGAGACATGGAGAAAATGAGGCTTTAATTTTGTGGGTGGCAGCTTTCAAGTTCTCCAGTGGCAGGAAGGTCACTGTCTCTTTAGTGCACTCATCTCTACCTTGTCACAGCCCCAGTAACAGCGCTTTGAATAGAGAAGCCTTCTTCCTCTTCCCTGTTGGCTTCGAGATTGACAGCACAGAGTTGGAGCAAAAAGCTTCCCAACCCTTGCTGGGTCTCACTACCAGGCCCGAACACTTTGGATTTAATAGGTTCAAGCCCTGGATTTTCCAAGGACACCAACTCTAACTCCTGTGACTTCTAGGGCAGTGGGTACTTCTAAGTTGCTAATTATGATGGACAAATAAATCTCCAGGGGAGATTGTTTCACTGGTGGTGGGTCTGCAATTTCTCTAACTCTAGCCCAGGGGGGAAGCCCCAGCGCACTTCTGCAGGCGACCACAGAAGTGAGGGGGGAGGTTCCGTTTCATCAGGAATAGACGATGGACTAGAATTTAACCTGAGAATGGGCTGGGGAGCGGTGTGTCCAGCCTCCCACCCAGCCAGCACTCTGCCCCGCCCTGAGGTGGGCTGGCTACTAGGGGCTCCTGGACAAGCCGAGCAAGGTACAAAGCCAGCATATTTGTGTTGCCACTTGTATACCAACCAACAGGGCGGACAAAGAATACAAACCCATGAATGCATTTTTTTAAATCTCTGGAAAAATCCCCAAGAATTTAAAGATGATTGTTGCTGGTCTGTGGGTCAGGGAAATGGATGGGTGTGTGTGTGTGTGTGTGTGTGTGTGTGTGTGTGTGTGTGTGTGTAAGATCCTAGGGTTTTCCATCTTATACTTCTTGAATTTTGAAGCTGTGTGCTTGGTTCAGAGAATAAATTGTATTTGAGGGAGAAAGTGCCATGGGACAATTTCCCGAGGTTGTGAGTTGAGGGTTCTGCCTGACTCAAAACCCCGGGGGAGCCTCAGATACAAGGAGACACGACCTTTCTGCAGCTTCTTCACCATTGCCAACAAGTCTTCAGTCTTCAAAGGCTTGGTCTGCCCTGTGGAGATGAGAATCAGAATTGCAGGACCCAGGGAGAGGGAGTGGGACTGAGGCTTACATGGGAAGGGAAGAGGTGAGTCCCATGGGTTTTGCAGACACCCCTGGGTTGGAACCAAAGATGGGCTAGGCTTCCAGCAACAGCAGGGGCCCTGTGGGACCCTGTTCCTTGTCCCTGAGGTTTATGGTTTTGCTGGATGAATCAGGGCCCCCTGGTCAGCTTCTCCCTGAGAGGTCAGATCCTTTAATGAAGGTCAAGAATGAGGGAAGGGGAAGCACTTTTGCCGCTACTATTCAAAATCAGAATGAAGTGCTCACCAATGCAATTGAGCAGAAAGATTTCATATGAATTTCTTAGAAATTATTATAGGCCACAATTTGCAGATTCTTGAAGAATTTATGAGTCTAGAAAATAGTTACTAATGAACTCTAACGATAAAAAAAGACCACCAGCTAATATGAGCTTCTTGATGGAAGAACGTAACACCACCTATGAAGGATTCTTGCCAACTCCCCACCCCCCCCAAAAAAAAGTCAAAAAGAGAAATCAAGGTTTCCGTATTTAAATACCAATTCAAAGAAAATACAAGGAGCAGAGAAACATGTTCCATTATATCATGAGGATATAATCATGGGGATTATAAGACTCTGGTAAACTTCACAAGACAGTCTTGTTTCTTCAACAAATAAATTGCAAAGAAGAAAAAGGGAGAGGGAAACTATGATTAAAAGAGACTTGGGACAACAGACCCAATTGGCACCTTGATTCAGACACACTTTTCACCACATGTATGTCTATATATCCTTAACACGCATCTGTGTTACTTTTAGTATAATAACCAAAAAAAATCAGAGAAAGATTGACATTTTAAACTCTTCAAATCACTGATAAAAGGTCAAATCCCAGTGACCTACCACCTCCAAGGAAAACTGGGCAGAGAACATGAAGGGCAGCTCACAGACCACACAACAGCCAAAAAGTAGTGCTCAGTGAAACGCCCCTTCGCCCAGGCCCCAAGTCCCTCAGTTTCCCTCCTCAGGAGTCACTGCGGTTGCAAGCTACTCATGCACACTTGGAGATAATTCATCTACAAGCCGATTTCCACTTTCTATACAAATGGTTTATCCTCCCATAGATGATGTTCCAGTGTGCATTTTTCACCTGATGGTGTGCACTGGTGATCTTTTCAGTCCTTTTATTGGCTGCATACCAGCCCACTGAGTGGATGTCCCACATCGACTATATTAAGTGCAGTCCCTACCATTTAGGTCCCTGCTAGTGGGTATTTAGGTTGTTTCCCCTTCTTTCACCGTCACAAACAATGCAGCAGTGACCATCTTTATTAGTTTTCCCGGGCTGCCAAAACTAAGTGTCACAAACCAAGGCTTTCTTTTGCATCTACCTGTGTTTGCACCTTTCATTCTCTCTCCCTGTGCCCGAATTTCCCTCTTCTTGTAAGGACACCAGTCGCTGGACCAGGGCCCACCCTTGTCCAGTATAACCTCACCTTAACTAGTGACAGCTGCAAAGACCCCATTTCCAAAGAATGTCACATTTTGAGGTTCCGGTGTTCAGAACATTTTGGAGGAAGCAAAATTCAACCAGGTGCACTTACCCCGGTACATTCTTCTTTGTGCCCACATGGGAGTGTATTACAGGATAAATTCCTAGAAGGCTACCAGCCCTATCCAAATGCAGGTATATTTTTAAATTAGACTGGTATTATGGAATTCCCCTCCACCTGTTTTTGGCAGCCCCCCCCAAAAAACCTCCTTCCCCATACTCTTACCAGCCAAGTATGCTTTCAACCTATTCCATTTTTGCCAGTCTGATAGACAAAACCAGTAGTTCACTTCAGACTTTCTGGTAGTAAATAACCAAAACTTACTCCTGTGGATCAGAAATTCTACCTCTAAGAATCTATCTTAAGGAAATAATTAAGGGCGATAGGCAAGAATTTCATTGTGTCATTGTTTGAGATCTTAAAAAGCAGAAGCAATCTAAAGATGCCTTAGTTGATCATAGCACATTGTGGGATGAAATTCCCTGCAGCCATTAAAAATCGTGTTGCAAACCACGGGTTCTTCACCTCAGTTTATGAATTTTTTTTGGAAATATTTGCTGGTATGTTTTCTTTACATGTTTTGTCTTCAAATCTTTTACAAATAAGTATGCATTAATCTAACTTTGCATTTAAATTTTAAATTACTTGTTAAACAAATGTAGAAGAACTCAGAATAAAAAGTAAGTCTCTCCTCACCAAAAGCCCCTTGCCCAAGTCACTCCCCTTTCCAGAAGTAACCATGCCAACAGTTTGGTGAAGACACTCAGATCTCTTAGTAAAATGTATTTCATGTATTTAATTTTTTATTTTCTTATCAAAGTAATATTCTAAAAACATTCAAAACTACACAAACAGGCGAAGTTAACAATGAACCCTCCCTCCTTGGCCCCAAACCCCAGTGCCTTTCTCTGATATTAATAGACTGGTACGTGTCCTATCGGGAAATTAAACAAAAAATTAAAGCTACTTTAATAATAATTAGATATGTGTTATTGTTTTCTTTTTAAATAGTTCATTATGAAAATTTCCAATTGCACACAAAAGTACGAATATCATGATGAACTCTGATTTACTTATCGCCAAGATCTGAAAGTCATTAATATTCATAAATATTTGCTTCGGCCAAATTTTTCCTGTGCAGTATTTTGTTTTTATTTTATTACTTTTACAGTAATAAAATAAAATAGAGAGAGACAGAAACAGAGACAGACAGAAACACGTATTTTCAAGCCCTGGGCTTGCCCAGATACGTGTCTCACTACTCGAAGACATTTTCTTAGATGACTCCAATCCTGTAATCACACCAATATTCACAATCGTTGCTAATCAATGGATTATTAGCATCACCCAGTACCCAGAACATGTGTGACTTCCCTGACAGTCCCCGTGTCTTTTACAGCTGGGTTGGTTGTACAACCTTTTCTGTGAAGGCTCCATCTGTTATTCCTCTCCCCTGCATTTTGTAACCCTAGTCATGGGGTAAGATCATGGCTGCTCAGTAAATCTTGTAAATAATCCAACTAACAGCTTGATCATTTTTTTTAAATCCATGTTAAAAAACAACCTAGACCACATGAGCCCCTTTTAAACATTTTATTTTGAAACAATTTCAGATGTACATAAAAGTTGTAGAAACAGACCACGGTTCTCCTCTTTGCCCTTGTATCAGGTTTCTGTACCACAGATTGCAGGGATCTTGGCCCTTTATTCCTTAACATGCCAGTGTGTATTTCCTCTGTACAAGGGGAACCTACCAGGTAACCACAGTGTAACCATCGAAGACGAGTTTAGTACCAATATCAATATTAATATAGGATCCTCAGATACCAAATTTCCCTTCTAGTATTTCAAAATGATATAGTATTACATTTTCCTAAAAGAAAAAAAAATCGCAAAAATGCCTCTAGTTTTGCACAGCTCCCAAGATCCAAGTTCCTTGCTAAGAGTCATTAGTTCGGCCTTCCACCCTCAGACAGATTTCCATACAACCCTCACAGGGCCATAGATGAAGCTGCCTCCGCTTGATTTTTTAAAATCCAAACCTGCTTGGTTTTTTCCCCTCATAAAAATACCTCTTCTTGGAGTTCATTGTGTCAATAAATATTAATCTTGTCCTTTTTCAAATTAAATCGGAATTTAATTATTTTTTCCTGCTGCTGAAAAAAGTAAAAAGCCCACCACACAGGTATTCCACAATATGCATGAAAATACCTAAATTTAGCCATTTCCACAATTGCTCTTTTTTTTTTGCTTCCACCAACACCACTCTAATGGCTCTTCCTGGTCCACACACCCACATATTCTCCTCATTACTGAAGATATGCAATAGTATTTTAGATGCTGAAATTGTTCTGTCTAGCTGCTGCTAGCAAAGCCTTTACTGGTTAGCTCTCCCAGTGAGACGAGGTGGCCTTCCCCCCCCCCCCCAGAGTACTTGATACTAGACATCTTCCCTCCCTTTATAAAGCCAACAATGGCAAAAAATGGTAACTTGATTTAAAATTTTCTGCATTGCTGATGAAATCAATGACTTTGATTTTGACACATTTGAAAACTTGATACTAAAAGTTTATCAGTAGCAGTGGCAGCTATAATAAGTGCTTAATAAATGAGATCTATTTCCATCTCTCATTTCTGCTTGTCCTTTGTTGAAAGCTGGTGTTCAATGTGTGGCCCTAACCAAAGAGAGCTCATGACAGAGCACTTATTATATGCCAAGCAGCCATTGTTGGGGTGTTGGGGAAAGAGCAGTAAATGGTTTCCACGGAGCTCACACCCTAGGACAATAAACAACTATCACCATTGTTGTTGAAGTGTACATAGAAGGTAACCCGATATGTTTACTAATACACAGTGGTTTAAAGGCTGTGCAGGAAAGGGTGTTACAGATGAAAGGAGAGCAAAAAGTTGACAACTGCTAAACAGCGATGGGTGCTCGGGCATTTATCATGCTATTCTTTCTATGTCGGTACATTTAAAAAAAAAATCCTAGTTAAAATAATGCTCGTGGCATAGTAGCAGATCACTGTCTTGGGAGGTTTACTTTTGTCTAAACTGCAATTCCCACCTGTCTGTGGGCAACTTTCCCCTCTCACTAGGAAGCAGGTCTCATCACGAAGCGCCCTGGAGCAAGGCTGCCCGTGGGAGCGGCCGTTAAGGGAGTCCACACACAGTGCGGCATGTGCTGGGGGCCGAGCAATACTGGGGCATCACCGCTCATTCTCTTAGGTGTGGCAGCAGCGGAGTGGCTTCTGCGAGAATCTCCACCTCCATTCGTTGCTTGGAGATGCACACTTCAGTAGTGTACTTTAAAATACTAAGTAGTATGTCCAATAATTCAGATGAAATTATGTGCGTTATCTCCACATTATAGAACCCTATTTTACAAAAGCCTTAAAACTGTAATTTTTTTAGTACTGCTATCAATATTTCATTATTTGAATGGGACTGCCACTCCTCCCTTCTGCCCTGGGCAGGAAGTGCCTGCTTACCCTCGTTGCCTTCACCCTCCACGGTCTCCTCTAAGACTTCCAGAGGCTCCACTTTGAAAGGCTCCAACTTCCCCGCCATTTCCCAACGCAGAAATCTGGCGCATGCGCCTTGGACAATTGGTAAAAAAAAAAAAAGCAAGGCCCTACAGCGCGCATGCGTGCAGCATGTAGACTTACCAGTTGACCTAGGTGTGCGCAGAAGGGTTTGAGCGAGCCTCTGATCCAGTGAGTAGCATGCGCCTTTTAACGTCAGTTTAAAGGAAACAAGGGCAGAACAAGGCTCGTAATGGGCTGGGGAGTGAGTGTTGGGAGAATAGACACAAACTCAAGGGGGAGGGGCAGTCTCCCCCTCTCCAGGTAGCTCCAGTAGTGCAGGTTGCGCCAAAGTCCAGGAGAAATGTGCGTGTGTCACACGGTGGTACAAGACTTCGAGTCCCTTTACGTTGAACACAAATCCTGACTTACAGCCTGTGAGAGGTGAGTTTTCTCTGTTTCACGAAGGTGCAGAACAAGCCCCAGAAGCTAAGTGCACCTCCTGCGTAAAAACTCTGGATCTCACCTACCCTGTGAGGTCAGTAGCTTTGTCAAGGGTTACCAGACAGGTAGCCTGTGGAGGCCACCTTTCTCATTAACATTAGCAGCAGCCAAGACTGATGGGGGTCATTTTTGAGAGGGTAAAGATGAAGTATATGAAGGGCAAAAGAATGTCCTTGTAGGGAGTGGTTCAGACCTTTTTCTTTAGTTTTTTTCTTTAAGTTATCCTTAGGCCAGTTCTAGGCACAAACTGGCCCTGCGTTCGAAAATTTCAGAATCCCCCCAAGGCCACTCCAAAAGATCTTGGCCAGCCCAGGACCCTCAGGGCTAAGAGCCCATTGCCAAAGTTAATTCCAGGTGCAGAGGGTGTGGTGCCCAGGACTGAAGGAGAAAGCCCATGGCAGAGGCTGGAATATCATCCAAATGGAGGAAGTAGGCAGAGGGAAGGGAAGAGGCCACAGGATTTCTCCACAGGTAGAGGTACATGAGGGGCTGGGGAAGCAGCCTACTCGCCTGAGTGCAGCCATGCCGCCAACCACCTCTCATTCGTGGGCAGGCCCTTAGCTCCTGCCCCACTGCCCACAGAGAGACCAGCCACAGACACCACCATGAACCGCTTCATCCCTCCCACCTGGCCCATCTCCAGGGTAGAGATAGAAGGCAAAAGCCAATGGTAGCTGTTCCCAGCACTGCCCAGTCTGGGAGTTCTGCCTCTCAAGGTCCACTGAACAACCCATTGTGGGAAGCTTGGTCTGTGGAGGCAGATGAGGCTGCGGGGGGCGTGGAGTACTTGGGTGGGTAACGAATGAAGAGCCGATCCTCCTCCTTCTTCACCCAGCGCAGGAGTTTGGTCACTACCAAGATGGCACCTGCCTTGGTCACCAGGGGGCTGAGGCAGGTATAGAGCTCAAATTTGGAGGTCACCTGTGGGTTTGAGAGGAGACAGTCAGTTGGGCTTGAACTGGCCATGCCCCATCCTGTCGATCAGACCCTAGGCCCATGCCTGTCTCTGTTTGGAAGACATATCTGGTAGCAGTGCCCACCTGGTGCTGCCCGGTCACTGGGCTAAAGCAGGTAAGTTGGTATTATGAAGTCATGGGTGGGCCAGGGGTTCTCAGTTTGGATATAGTGGATTCAATTGGGTGAATCAGGTTGTATGTATGGACCTCAGTATGCTCATCTGTAGAGTGGGTATAACAGCTGTTGTATACAAGGTCCTGTTCTAATCTCCACACACCCATGTTTTCATCATTTATACCCTTAGTGTATTAAGAGGATTAATTCGATTTATCTTCACACTAACCTGAGAGACTTAATGTGACTGGATCACCATTATTTTTCTACAGAACCTCTCACTACTCCCCTCCCCCACTCCCTCTGTTCCAGCCACTCTAGCCTCTGCTTGCTACTCCTCAAGCATAAACCAGGCTCAGTCTCATCTCACAGCATCTGCTCAGTCCTTCCTTCTGCCAGCTGTACCCTTCCTTCAGAAACCCACATGGTCCACCACCTCTCCCCACTCAGATACCACCTCCTTGGTGAGGTATGTCCTGACCACCTGATTTACAATTTTCAGCCCACCACAGCTTGGTGTTGAAATACCATTCTTCACTAAAGGGTCAAAGGGCTGCTTGGACGAATGGACTGACACAGAGAAAGTACAAGATGAGCTTGGGACATCTTGTGCCACAAAGTAAGAACTGCTTCAGCAGTGACAGGGACATCTCAAAATGACGCAGGGGCCAGCCTGCCCAAATCAAAGTTCTCAATAGCTAAATCAGGGACCATTTGAGCAAAAAACATAATTGATAAAAGAGGCTTTTAACCTACTGAATTAAAGAAAAACTCACAAGACCACACTGATATATGTGTAAAATTACAAATTCAACAAACAAATACAGGAAGAGAAAACATTCTCCGAGACAACAGAATCTCAAACAATAACTGCAGAAGGAATAACAAGGTTAGAAGAATCACCATCTAGTAAACAGGATATTAATTGTGGCAGGCAAGAATTATTAATGGGAGACTTCCGCCAAGATGGAGGCGTAGGTGGAAACACTTTGCCTTCTCGCACAACCAAGTTTAAAAACAACAAAGTTTTAGCAACAAAAACGCAGCCAAACCACAGAAAATCGAACTATATGGAAGTCTGACAACAATGAACTCTTCAGCCAAATTGGTAAGAGGGGTAGAGCCAACAGCAGAGTGGGGTCAGGCAGGAAAGATCCACCGTACCGAAAGACCCACCGGACCAACCTGGGTACACCGGCAGCCGTGGGCGAATCCCAGGTGTGGATTAGTGGTCCGACCCACGGATGGCTGACTGCTGTCACATATTCCCGTGCAGATAAACTGGTGAAGGAGCGAGCAGTGAGACGGACCCCGCAGGCCCCAGGGGCGGGAAGCGGCAGAGGGAACCTCCATTGCTCCCTCTCTGACCCCGCCCCCACATACAGTGTCACAAACCAGCGACCTGGGCGGTCCCACCCTAGTGAACACCTAAGGCTCCACTCCTCAAATGTAACAGGCACGAACAGATCAAAACATGGCTCAAGAACAACTCAGAGCCCCAGAGCCAATAATTCTAAGCGAGGAAGAAATAGCCAGACTTTCAGATGCACAGTTCAAAACACTGGTGATCAGGATGCTCACAGAACTGGTTGATTTTAGTCACAAATTAGAGGAACATATGAAGGCTAAACTAATTGAAATGAAGGGAAATGCACAGGAAACCAATAGTAATGGAAGAAAACTGGAACTCAAATCAAAGGAGTGGGCCAGAAGGAAGAAAAAAATGACCAAACAGAAAAGGATGAAGAAACAAAAATTCAAAAAAATGAGAAGAGGCTTAGGAACCCCCAGGACATCTTTAAACGTTCCAACATGCAAATCATAGGGGTACCAGGAGGGGAAGAGGAACAGCCACGAATGGAAAACTTATTTGAACAAATAATAAAGGAGAATTTCCCCAATCTGGCAAAGGAAATAGACTTCCAGAAAATTCAGGAAGCTCAGAGAGTCCCAAAGAAGATGGACCCAGGATGAACACACCAAGGCACATCATAATTACATTAGCCAAGATTAAAAGGAAAGAGAGAATCCTAGAAGCAGCAAGAGATAAGGGGACAGTCACCTACAAAGGAGTTCCCATCAGACTGTCAGCTGATTTCTCAAAAGAGAACTTACAGGCAAGAAGGAGCTGGAAAGAAGTATTCCAAGTCATGAAATCCAAAGACCTACATCCAACATTGCTCTATCCAGCATAGCTTTCATTTAGAATGGAAGGGCAGATAAAGTGCTTCTCAGATAAGATCAAATTCAAGGAGTTCATCATCACCAAGCCCTTATTATATGAAATGTTAAACGGACTTATCTAAGAAAAAGAAGATAAAACATATGAACAGTGAAAGGATAGCAAACTCACAGTTATTAAGAACCACACAGTTATTAAGTTATTAAAACAAAAGCAAACTAAGAGGACAGCTAGATCAGGAACAGAACCATAGAAATGAAGATCACATGGAGGGTTAGCAACAGGGGAGTGGGAGGAGGAGAAGGGGGGAGAAGGTGCAGAAAATAAGTAGCATAGATGATAGGTAGAAAATAGATAGGGGGGAGGGCAAGAATAGTAGGGGAAATATAGAATCTAAAGAACTTGAGACATGTGATCATAAACTAAAGGGGGGATGGTGGGGGAGGGGGTGCGCAGGGTGGAGGGGAATGAAGTGGGGAAATAGAACTGTAATGGCATAATCAACAAAATATATTTAAAGAAAAGAATCATTAATGGATATTAATGTTAGTGGATGAAAGTATAATGAAAAACAGAACACTGAATAGTCACCTCATGCTATGTAGTAATTATTGTACAAAGGGCAAAAATACTAAATTTATAAGTGGATAAATCTGGCAGACACCACCTTAACTAAATGATTGAAGTTAACCTCATCAACAATGGGACAAAATGACAGTGTGGGCCACCCAAGGAGATTCGAAGAAGGGCACAGCACCACTTCTGTGATGTTCTTTCCAAACACACCTGACCTCAATTTAGTCATGATAAAATACCAGAAAGACACAAGTTGAGAGACATTCTAAAAACTAACTGGCTGGTCAGGATGTGAAAGACAAAAGGACAGAGAAACTGCTCCAGAGTAAATGAGACTAGGAAGGCACAATAAAGGAATCCGACATGTGAATCTGGACTGGACTCTGGGCCAGTAAAAACCATTATTAGTGGGACAACTGGTGAAATCTGAATGAAGTCTGTGGATCAGATGTTATTATACTCATGTTAATTCCCTGATTTTGATAAGTTACTATGGTTATGTTAGTATTTGGAGAAACTGGGTGATGGGATTATTTATAGTAATTCTTTGTACTACTTTGCAACTTCTTCATAAGTCTAAAATTGCTTGAAAATTAAGGTTTAAACGATTAAATATAAAACAAAGTTCTTGGCCTAGAACAATGCCTGATACACAACAGGCACCAAATAAATTACTTAATAAATGTGCACTAAATGGCAGAGCCTGGGGGAAGGTGCCATTCCCAGTGGGGTCACCTTGCCCCAACTCCCAGAATATCTGACTTAACAGACCCATAGGAAGTGAGGACAGGAGCTCTGAAAAGACCCCAGGAACGATATCCCAGGTGGAAGGCATAGCATGGTGTTCAAGGAGTGCTGGGGAGGGAGTCACGGAGTCAAAACTGAACTGGTGCCTGCAGACACAAGGGTGAGCCTAATGGGAAATCAGCAGGCACAGGGATGGTGGATAATGGGGCCTCCTGAAAGTCGAAGACACTGTACTGATTACTAATGGAGGAGCAGCAAACAGAATGATGGAGCTAATGAGGTTTGTAGATGCCATGACTGACCCTAATGGGTTTCAAAGACAGGTGTGTAATGGCAGGGACAGTGTTAAAGGCAAAAGTAAACACAGCCCAGGCAAAGGCACAGTGTGCCCGAGGGATGGAGTGTGTTATGCCTGGGGGAATACGATGGAAGGGGAAAGTACCAAAGCAGAGAATTAACCCTTTCAGGGCCCCGCCCAACTCACCCAGGCCAGCAGCGTCTCCTTCTCAGCCACATGGTAGATGAGGCGCAGAGGCCGGGAGGTGCTGTGGAGGCGCGCATGCAGGCGGTGGTACAGGTCTGACAGGCGCTGCCGCTCCTCCTCTCTGCTGTATGGGGCCTCTAGCTCCGGGCTGCGGTGATGGATGGAGGCAGGGGACAAGGTCAGTCTAGGGCTTTCTTGGCTGGCCCATCTTGCTTCAGTCAAGGGAGTTCATTAAGTTAGGGAGCTAAGCCTTCCCCATCAGACTTGAGAAACTCCATGGCTGGAGGCCCAGCTTCCCCATCAAACTATGGGAGTCCTCAAGTACTAGGGCCCTGTTCTCCACTAGAATAAGGGATCCCTTGAGGGTGGCGCAGCCTCTCATCAGTCAGAGACCCACTCTATTCCTTCTTTCTAGCACATGGCTGGCTCTCTTATGGAGTCATGTCTGTGAGATGCTGAACCTTCCAGTTAGATAAACCTTCCTGCCCTGCCGACTGTCCACGGGCTCAGGACCCACCTGGTAAACTGGGGCAGCTGGCGGTGATGGTCAGGGATGTCCAGTGGCTTATAGAGGAAGTGCCAGAGGCCAGGTGCCCCCACAGCCTGCACACTGTAGGAAGGGGCATTGGCTGATGGGGCATTAGAGAAGCTGGCAGCCTCCCCAAGTGTACGCATGGCACCAAGGCTGTGCATCCCGTCTTCCACCAGGCGCCGGCAGGTGGCCATGTCATGGAAGGCCTCAGGGTCGGTGCCAAGCAGCAGCAGGCAGACAGGCATGGCATCCAGGCGGGCCACATAGGCGTAGAAGAAACCATCAGGGTTGAAGCGGGGCAGGCACACAGGTGCCCATGCCTCCCCTGCTGCAAAGGCCGGGGCACTGACCCAGTTGAGCAGCAACTGCAGGTCGGCTGGGTCCAGCCGGCACTCAGCCAGCACACTGCGCTCCTGGGCCGCTGTCACCAGTTGACCACCCACCGCCAGCACAGACAGTGCCAGGCCAGGGGCTGTGCAACGTCGGAGCAGCGCACCTAGTGCTTCCCGCAGCGGGCGAGCAAGGGGCACACAGCGCACAGCGCCCAGGAGCAGGGCACCTGGGTCTCGCTCCACACTGTCCAAAAGCCGGTCTAGTGTGCTCTCCGAGCCAGCCAGCAGGCGGCGGAGGTCGTAGTTCTGCTTGCGGGCGAAGATGCGGGCCACGCTTGCACGGGTCAGTGTGCTCACAATCTGTGCATGCACAGCTAGCAGCTCCCTCCGAAGCTGGGCTGCTGACTGAGGAGTCCGTGACACAGCCACCAGCAGCAGTGGGCCCTGCTGAAGGAACACCAGCTTGTGGTCCTCTGGGGGAGGAAACGCATGGGCGGGGTAGAGATGAGTCAGTGGTGACTGCAGGGGGTCTGGTGAGGTTCTTCCACCCTTTCCCTGAACACACACACCTCTGGCCAGAACTTGTGCAGCCACTGGGGACACTCAGACTAGGGTAAGGACACGCTGGGGGAGTATGAACATTTTAGAGACATGATAGGACGGTCAAAGATTCAGGTCAGACATACAGCATGAAGTTGGGGAAGATGACGCAAGGACTGACAAGGCCAGAAACACACCCAACTCGTCCACACAGCCCACAAAAGCACCCTGTCAGATAAGCAAGGAGGTATCCAGCCAGTCGCTTACATCCCAGTCAGTTAATCACTCAGAACTCAGCAGGCCAAACTGACAGATGGATACGATGCTCACCACCCTGGACAGCCATGCACATACACTGACCCACACCTGGCTGGCTGGAGTGTGCTCCCGGAAGTCAGGCAGACCTGCCACTAGCCAGCTAGCCATATTCATAGTCCCATCACTGCCCGCTGTTCTGCCTCCTGCCCCTTTGCTCACCAGCATAGATGGCGCGGATGGCGTCTCCTGCACTCTGCACGAAGGACACGAGGGCTGTCATCACGCCCATGGTGGTCGACAGTGCCTCCACACTACCGTACCTCGAGTAGATGGGCTTGCCTGCCTCACTCAGCACAAACACGTGCTTCCGCTTGCCGCGCCAGTCCTCATCACTGGGGTCTCCGCCCTGGCCCCCAGAGCCGCTTTCAGAGTCACCCGTGGGACTATTCTCAGAGGCTGAAGGATCCCAGAGCCCACAATTACATGAAGGGGACTCTGACTGGGGCAGTGGTGACAGAAGGCTAGGTGGCTTGTCCTTGGTCCCAGATCCTGAAAGAGAGCCCCTAGTGGGTCATCTGCCTGTGGACTCCTACTAACCCCATGTGCCCAAGGACCCTCCAAATCAAATCCTACCAGTCCCCCAATGACCCCTGATGCTGACACAGACCTCCAGGTATCTCCTCAGTCCCTAATATTATATCCATATGATCCCCTTTAAGCCCCGATAATCTAATCTCTCGTTGTCATAATCTAACCCTCTATGTCCCTAGAGACCAATCATTGCCCTTTCAATAACTTCCATTCTCAAGTCTTCAAAGCACCCCATCACCTCTGAATAACCTTCATCTTCACTGGTTCCCCCATTAATAACCACTGACCCCTCATTTTTATCCTGATATTTACCCCTCAAAAGATGTAATGGCCACGATTATATCTATTAATACTTGGGTCTTTGACTGCTCCCTGTCCCCGCTACCCCTTAATGATTCTCACTGATGTCCACTGATCCATAATGACCCCATTGACTCTCCTGAGTACTATTTACATTACTGATGGTGACCACTAATTCCCCCAGTGATTGCCATGAATATCCACTAACACCCAGATCTTTGACTCCCTTAACCCTCCCCCGCTTTTACTCCCACTGCTGTTCATCAGCATTCTAATGACGCCACATAAACATCACCAATACCTGGGTCTTCGATGAAATGATTGCCTTGACCCACAATCTATTCCACTTCACGTCCATTCCATTCCTATCATGAACACAATTAACCTCCACTAACATTCAGGACTTCCAGTGACCTCTGAAAATTCCCCTGACCCTCTTTTAGTCCATTCTCCCATCTCCCCCAAGATCACTATTAATCTCCACTAACACCCAGGACTTCAGTGACCTCCACTGACTCTCCTGAACCCCCTTTATACTGAGTGGTATCCACCTCCCTCTCTACAATAACCACCATAACATACACTAACACACAGAACTTTAATAATGACCTCCGTTGCCCTTCCCATGATCATCATTAACAATCACCAGTGAAATCCATGACTTCAATGCCCCCTACTGACTCCCCTGACACCGCTTCCATCTATTCCAGTTGCTGTCCATTGATCTCCCAAACACAATCATTATTATCCACTGGCAACTACATTTCAACCATTTTTCCGTAAAATTCCAATGACTTCACATTCTCTCATCCCACATGCCCCAATTACCAATTACTTCCTCCCAATATCTGCCATTACTTGCCAATAATTCCCAAGTTCTCAAAGAACCCCCCCCGCCACTGAACTATTACCAATTAGTCTCAGAGATGTACACTAATCTTCCTCAGTGACCCCACTAATATCCATTAATTCCAAAGTGGTCAATGAGCAATACCCCTGTGATTCCCATTAATTTCCACAGAATACCTCTACACATCTACTGGGGTCTTTAAACACCCTCCTACTGGTCCTCTAATGTTCCAAATAATCTCACTGATGTCCACTGCCTCCCCACCGATGATTATCATTAACATCTGATTCCTTAAAACACTCCCACCACCAACTCCCATTGTCTCTTCAATGATATAAACACTCTGATTACCCATTGGCTCTCAGTGATCCTCTCCCCCATCTCAGTGACTTAAACAACACACTAGCCCCCAAGAAACTGATTTCTGAATAGCCCACGTTTGATCCTATTCACTGTCTTTTGGTCACTGGCCTACACAACCTAAATCCCCAATGATGCTCCTCTTTGATCCCAAAGACCTAAACTCACTCCTAATTCACTAATGCCCACTGATTTCCTTTTCATTCCTTGACGATTTATACTATAATGCGAGTCAACAATGCCCTCCTACTGACCACATGCAACCCCGTTAGGCTCAAAAGACTCTTCAATGATCCCTCGCTGACCACCCCCAACAATGACACCCCCTATAAATTCTTTCCAAGACCCCAGTGAGGAAAAGGCATACCTGTTTCCTCCAGGCTCCCATCTCCGAGATCTGCTGGGTCCTCGTGAACCCCTCCACTCTCTCCAGCTTCCTCACTGGGAAACCGCGTGTCCTCCAAGTCCTCTGCGTCCCCGGGGGCTGGGGCAGCAGTGTCTTCTCCGGCCTCCATCTGCACATCCCTGTGCGGGAGGGGAATTGAGGGTGACGGGTAGCAAAAGAAGCTTCTTAAAAGCCTTCACGGAGCTTAGCCTCCTGGTACACACTTCTCGTGCTGGTTTCCCCTCGGTTTTCAACAGGATGAGACCTTTAAAAATACGACCACATACTTGCATCCTCCAACACTTGCTGTACAATAAGGCTCTACCGAACCCCAGGAAATAAAGATACATAAACACCTGTTTTAACCCGGTATTTCAATTGGCCGGGCACCATCACTTCCCGTAGCATAGCCACGGTATCACCACACTTCCGGGTGCGACTGCGGTCTTGCCACTCTTCCGGGTGAGGTGAATCTCTGAAGGAACTTCCCGCTGCTGAGCTTCATTCGCTCCCCATGGGACCCGACCCCTCTCTCCCTCCGCCCATTGGCCTTCGCTCACCGTTGAGATGGAGCGCGACCACTCCTGAATCTACGTCAGATCTGGTTGGGAACTAAGCGAGGGCCCTGTGCAACCCTTTCCACCGCAGAGTCGTGCCAGGATCCCCGGCCTAGCCAGGCCCACTTCTGGTACGTAGGCGTCGGCGCGAGGGGGCGCGGCTCACGTTCAGCCAACCCGGAGTACGAGCAGGGCACTGCCTTCTTAATGCCCAATCAGGACAAGCCGGCTTCACGTCCCATATCTACCAATACCGTGCGTTGACTTGTGATTACACCCGCCTATCCCTTGACTGACATTTTTTCGGATCCAATTGAAAGCTCGAGCCAGTTCCTCCCTTCGTTCACTGCCGAAGTGATAATTAAGAAGGGTGCCTCCCCAGTAGAAGTGCTTCCCCACTCCCTTATCCGCCAGGAAATGCTGGGGGAGGAGGGTGACAGGGAATCAGGGAAGAAATAGAATGTTTGACGGACAGTCATCGCTTCCAATTGGAATGCCATGCGCAACCTGGCTAGCCTATAGAACTCGGCTGCAAAAGCGGGAGGCGGACATCTCAGAAGGAGGGTGTCTATATTCATCAGTCTCAGAATTCAGCCAGGCGAAAGAAAGCCGGAGCAAGTGAACAGCCTTATGGCCCCGGGGGAGTGAGTTTGAGAAGGTACTATACAAGCTGATCAGGGTTTGCCCAGACGACCTCGTTTTCGAATACACGACTTTGTGGTACAAGCTACAGAGATTAGAAGTTCAAGTTTAACAGGGTTGTAGGTGGTCGTGGCCTTGTCAGCCTTCCGAGTTTCTGGTTGAGGAAAATGTCCATCGGCTGCTGCGCGCCACTACTGGCTGGGCGAGGGCACTGGAGAAATGCAAATTAAAACGACGAGAGATACCTACGCATACACATCATAATGCCTACAACTAAATAGTAATGACATTTAAAAAATTTTAATAGTGTACACAACAGCATCAAAAACACAAAACAGTGTTACCAACATATGTGCAAGACCTACATCCAGAGGATTATAAAATTTTGCTGAAAGAACCAAGAAGATCTAAATAAATGAGGATCGTACTATGATCATTGATTGGAAAACTAAAAAAAAGTCTATGTTTTAATCTAATTGTAATGAAAACCCTACCATAAATTTTTGAGGAAACATGATATTTTCTTAATATTTACATGGAAATGCAAATATTTTGGCTAAAATCATTTAAAAATAATAGAAGACCTACACTAGCAGTTTGAATCACATAATTAAGTTACAGTAAAAAGAGCATGTGGTATTGAGAAAGTTTACACGTATATATCAATGGAATGGACTAGAGAGCTCAATCTCCCCACACCTACCTCTATGGTACAACAATATGAAAAGATAACTCAAGGCAGGGAATAATAGTCTTGCCCACATATGGAGCTGGAATACTGAATATTTATACAGAAAAATTTTCACCCCTAAATTAACACTGTAAATAAGTTCAAAATGTATCAATCACTAAACATGCAAACCAAAATTATAACATTTCTAGAAGACATAGGAGGAAAATTTTCACGATTTTGGGTTAGGAAAGATTTTTTACTTAGGTTACCTAAAAGCATCAATCATAAAAAAAGGATGATTTAAAATATATATAAATGATATTAAGAGAATGAAAATAACAGACTGGTAGAGGTAGGTAAACAAACAGACAATTGGACAAAGAAATCTTACCAAAGGAAGTATACGTGTGGTAAATAAGAGCATTCAAGATGATCAACATCATGAATCAATAGGGAAATGCAGTTCAAAATGTCTATTAAACTGTCTAAAATTCACAAAGAATATATAAAAAAATTCTTAAACTCAATATGACAACCCAATAGAAATGGGCATGAGATTTTAATAAAGATACTTTTTAAAAAAGAGTTAATTTATTTTTAGAGAAAGTGGGAGGGAGGGAGAGAGAGAGAGAGAGAGAGAGAGAGAGAGAGGGAGAGAAACATCTTTAGGTTGCCTCTTGGGTGCCCCCTGCCAACCAGGAACCTGGCCTGCAACCCAGTCATTTGCCCTGGCCAGGAATTGACCCAGAGACCTTTGAGTTTGCAGTACAGTACTCATTCTACTGAGCCACACCAGTCAAGGCAATAAAGATACTTCTTAAAGTATATGCATGATGAAAAAGCACATGGGAAGTGCTGAATATCCTAAACCAGACTGGATATTCAAATTTAATCCAGAATTAATCTGGTGGGTGTGATAAATTCCCCTGCCCCCAGTGTCACCATAGCCTCGACAAATAGACTGCCTTTCATTCTCAACCTCCATCAAATCCCCCAGATGGCAAAGGCCCAGCTATTCATGTTTGGAGAACCTGGGAGAAGGAAATGCTGCACACTTTGTTCTCAGAAGGTTTCTTCTCTGAAGATATGGATATATGTGTAAGGATAAACTCTTAAATTCCTTCACAGCAAGGAATTCCAGAATTGTAACTCTTTTTCTCTCATTCCCCATCACCTGTGCTAAATGTCTGGATCTTGGCTATGTTAGCAGGAATATGCTTTTTCAAGAAATCAATGTCACTAAGTAAGTTTTCTCACCTTCATGTCTCCACCAAAATACAAGACCTGTAAAAATAGCTCTGGCTGAAGGGGCATGGTGAATTTCTGAAGCCCACCGAATTCTCAAAAGATATTAAGACTGAACATCCACCAATGCCCTTATATTAATTACTATTGCTACTCTAATAACTTACACAGATTTAGTGGCTTAGAACAATACAAGCTTATTTTCTTAACCATTCTGTAGGTTAGAAGTCCAAGATGGGTCTCATCAGGCTAAAATACAGTTATCGATGTGTTCTTTTCTGGAAGTTCTAGGGGAGAATCTATTTTTTGGCCTTTGCTAGCTTCTTTCGTCTTCCTGCACTCCTTGGGTCACTGTCTCCTTCCTCCAACCCAAAGCTGGCGATGTGGCATCTCTTGGACCATTCTTTGTAGTCTCATCCACTTTTCTGAGAACAAAGAAAGCTTCTCTACTTTTCAAGACTCACGTGATTAAATTCAGCCTGCCCAGATAATCCAGAATAATTCCCCCAATTCAGTGTCCTTAAATGTAATCACACTGGCAAATTTCCTTTTTCTAGGCAGGTAACATTCATTCACAGGTTCTTGGGACTAGGCCGTGGATATTTCGGGGGGTGGGGTGGGGTGGGGTGGAGAGGACATTATTCTGCCTACCTGGTATGGATTAAGATACAGCTTCCTAAAATTCATATGTTGAAACCCTAACCCCTATGTGATAGTATTTCTTGATGGCAGCTTTGGGAGGTAAATAGGTTTAGAGGGTCACAAGGGCGGGTGCACATGATGGGTTACTGGCTTTATAAAAAGAGACGAGAGAGCTTGCCTTCTCTCTCTCTCTCTCTCCCCCCTCTCTCCCGTGTCCATAAGAGGATACAGCAAGGAGGTGGTGGTCTTGAAACCAGGAAGTGGGGCCTCACCAGATAACAAATCTGCTGCCAACTTGACTTCGGACTTTCCAGCTTGCAGAGCTGTGAGGAATAAATGCCTGTTGTTTAAGCCACCCATTTTATGCTACTTTATTGTAGTAGCTTGAGCTGTTAAAAATACCACTGTACTCCTTCATCCCGTATCACATGCCTAACTTTCATCACAGAGGATCAAGGCAACTGAAGGGCTGAGTTCATTTATATGACTTCTAAGGAGGATAATTGTGTTTACATCCCAAAGTGGACATCTCAGAAGAAATTCCTCACCTAGAGGAAACTGATCACTCTCCAGATTCCTACCTCTAACCCTTGGCGTGTGTTCCTAAAAAGTGGACCCCGCCCATCTTTCTAGGACAAAAGGCCCCCCTCTGTGCACATTGTTCTTGATGAGTCAGTCACCCAGGAAACTGCACTCCCAGGACTGGCCAACCACCTGCAATTCTGCACCTGCCTGGGGACGCCCTGTGTCTCTGCAGTGGACTAGTTGTAACCACGGTGCGTTCTTTTTGTGGATATCTGCACACACTGAAGTGACCCCCGGCTATGATTTCTGTTCCCATGAACCTTTCTGAACCCTACGAAATTCAAACTGAATATGTGCAGCAGGAGTTACTGAGATTTCTAGCTGGGAACGGAAACAAGGCAAAACTGTGAATCGAACAGAATGCAATTATGCTAGTTTATACTGTGTCTCACACATTTTGGGTATTATATGACATGCTTCCTCTTTAAAGCTTCCATTTCAGTTAGTGATCAACCCGTGTTGGTTTGTACAGTAGCATACACTCTGGCCTAGTGTTGGGTGGGGCTGTAGCTCAGCTATGAATTTAGTTTTCAAAGCCTTTGCAGTGTAGTTCTGGTCTCCCTCACCTGAGTGCTATCCACAGGCGATTCTGAAACCTGTTCAGTGTTCTACATTGTCGTTCACTTCTCAAACCTTTTGTTTGTGTTGCTTCTGGTCATTTTCACAGAGGCACCTCTTACAGGTTTGCCAGGACATTATACACACATTTGGTGAATTTTTTTCTCTTGCTTCATCATTTCCATAAAACTCCCCATATTCTCTAAATAGAATAGAGGTAAATGCCATCTTCTCATCGCAGGGAGGTAATAAGGATATAGGGATGGAATGCCAAGTTCTAGGCAACAAAATGAACGCAGTCCCACACCCTGAGGGGAAAACACACTCCAGAATTAGTCCAGGAAACTCACTAAATGAACTAACAAACAACCATCCACAAAGGCAGGAACAAAATCCAAAGTTGATATAATGTATAACCTATATGCCAATTTTTCAATAACGCATGCAAATAAATAGGGAAGTGTGCCTTATACACAGGAACAGAATTTGTCAGTGGAGATGCTGAGGGGACTATAGATTTTGGACTTCTCTGAAAAGGACTTCAAAAACAGTACTATAGAGGTATTTTACAAACTAATAGAAACCATATATAAAGAATTAAAAATACAACCCTGGCTGATGTGGTTCAGTGGATTGAACGCGGCCTGTGAAC